TTTTTTTAAAAAAAAAAAAATTTACCTCCAAAGTTTATTTTTTGGGGGGGGGGGGGGAACCTCCCTAATATTAGTATATAGAGATGAATACTTATATAACTGGGAGAATCTATGGTTTTTCAGAAATAGAGAATGAGACAAAAAAAAAATCACAATTTTAAGGAATTCTAACAGAAGGAAACCAAATGATGATTGTTATTTTAAAAAATAGACCAGTTTTGATTACCTCCTCTCACACTTAGGAGAACATGGCTCTCATTTTATAGATAGATATATTCATTAGAACACCAAGATACTATCAGCCCATTGAAAGTGTAGCCTTTTCCTTAAAAGAGAAAGCAAAACAAGCATGTCAAAATTTACAAGATTATAATTACTGAGTTTGAGGGCCAACAGAGAACAAGGAAATAATCAAATTTAACTCTTGTGTTTCACAAATGAATAAACTGAAACTCAAAGAAGTTAAAGTGTCTTATCTAAGGCCATAAAGGTAATTTGTGAAAGGGCAACAAATATTTTAAGTAACCATTTCCCTATACTTTATCCCAGGCCAGTATGGGACATAACCTACAAGTAAGAAAAATAGATTAGTTGTAGTTACTAGGCTCACAGTAACTGAAGAAAGTCCAATCATAGCATCCTCAAATGACTAATATTTGGTACAGTACGATAACAATTTTTCTAATGCCAAGAGAGAAGTTTACTACTCTAGGATGTAGAATGTACAACCTTAGAAGTGGGGAAAAACTACTTTCTACAGCTTACCTACAGTTCATAAAAATCCTTATAGTTTATATTAAGGGTCCCCACTCTCATCTCATTGACTTAAACTCCATTATTTATGATTAGTTAGGTTTTCGTAGACGTAAGCCTGAATTCTTCAAAATACTACCATATTGCTTGGTGTCTCTTTGAAATAAGGATTTGCCGGGAGTGGTGTGGGGATAGATACATAAGTGTAATTTTATTTTTACTTTAAGACTTCTATTGACAGATACTCAGCTAGGAGCCCACTATTCTTAGTATATGCAACTATACATGTTTTACTTTGAAGCAATGTATTTTTATGCTAATAAATCCACTCTATAAATTTTAGGATGGTACTCCATTTCCACATTTAGGACAGAAGACACTTGCCCTATATACCACAGAGCCTGGGCCTACTTGATCCTAAATAATTATCCTAGTCATAGAAAAAAAAAAGCACAATTATACTGTTTACCAGATCTGAATGCTGCAAACCAATTCTAACTCCTTTAAAAAAATCTAATACAGTACTTAATAATTACAACTAGGAAGGAGGAATCTAACCTACAAAAATCTTACAATTTTGTATTTTTTTCAATTGAGAAATAATGCCACATCTGCACACTAATACACAATTCTATTCTACCTTCAGGTCAGCCAGACTCTGTGTCTGGCTATATCAGCTGGCCATGTGCCACATTAAGAATGGTAAGTTTTCAATTGAGAAATAATGCCACATCTGCACACTAATACACAATTCTATTCTACCTTCAGGGCAGCCAGACTCTGTGTCTGGCTATATCAGCTGGCCATGTGCCACATTAAGAATGGTAAGGCACACAATGAAACTTCAAGACTAGGATTAGAAGTAAAAATGCACCATAGACTAGCTATGATGTCAAGGTTATTATCTGGCAATATTGCCCAAAACTAGACAGAAATCACCAATTTGGAAACAAAATGTTCCATAAGTCATTACCAGACTCCTGAGTTGAGCCAGAATTTCATACTCTTTTTAACTGAAATATCCTATTGTCAAAGTAAAGCTTTATGTGTTTTTAAGACCAATGGTTTAAAATCCAGTTTTGCATATTTAAACTCACTTTATTCTCTCATTAAGACTTAAAGGAAAAAACTCTACACATTTATAATAAGATTTTAAATGTTTTCAATTTAATAATTCAGTTATTTGCACTAGTCCTTAGTAGTCGAACTTCATACCCGCATTTTTATTTCATCAACAATCATCTCAGACACACCTTCTAGCAAGACTGACTTAAAATATTACGACAGGAAACTATGCCTTCAGGAGCATGTTTATTGTGTTTGAGATGATACATCAGGTGCTCTCTGAGCTACAAAGGGTAAAAGGAAATCCTCTCATTACAAACTGACAAAGGTAAAAGGTAAAACATTTTTCACAACAGCATGAACCACATACTCAGAAATAGATCTGGGTTTAATACAAATGACATAATTCCTAGTCATCTACGGCTACTTTTATAACTTCATACAGATAATGAATTAGGCTAAAATGCACTATAATATTTGGTAGACTTCAGGACCAGTATCCTTAGTACATCACAAAATACATTTTGATATCCCAAAGAAGCAAGACTTGCAAGTAGGCGTTTTAAACATAACTAATCTACAGCTACAAAGTTCTACTCTTGATAGCATTTACCTTTTTGGGGAGTCTCCCAGTCTCCAAAGGATAAAAGCAGAGAGTAGAATCAGTATAACATATACACAGAAGTCCGTATTGTAAAGGCTATAAAGATTTGCAGCACAGTGAGAAGATGCCTTCTGCTCCTTCACACTGCATACAAATTATGTGAATTATGTTGCGTATCTCTTGGTCCACTGTCTGGCTATCCTGTCATGTTCTGCTCTGTTGGTCAAATACTGAGTGGCTATGCTTCCAACCAAAGGATCCGCTGGAAAAGTAGAAAGAACATTACAAAATATTACGTGGTATCTTAAAGGTACAGTTCTAATATTTGACTAAATTAGAACACTTATTTTTCAGCAGCATCTTGATATATAATGGCTAGATTTTTCAAAAATAAAATACTTAAAGTAACATGATCATCTGTATATTTTTAATATTCAAATTAGGAAAGAAAACCTCCTTTATTAAAAAATGAATGTTGAGTTAATAGGTTTTATTTTTATAAAAGACATATGCATTTAACATACAAAAACTATTTTGCAGTCCTGGCATTTTATTCAATAATTAAGGTGTGCTAAGCGGTCATATTTCTGCTTTCTTTTGGATATTAAAAAATGTAATTTTTAAATAAAACCCCTATTTTACAATAGAACGCTATTAAGAATGAAATGTTTCCTTCATTCTGTGCAGTAATACGAGTCTAATCACCAAGCACAGCTCCATTTGAAAACTTACTTGCAATTATGACTTAAATAGAATCCTGAACTGGAAATGGAATCTGAGTTGTAAACTTTTATTCTGAATTTACTTTTCAAAAAAAGGTAAAATATGTACACATGGGACAATATCTGAAGGGTAACATGATAACCAATAAAAAAGAATTAGGAGACTTCCTTCCTGGCTCCAACTACTCAGAAGTTTCTCTCTCTGGCAAATTGTTACCCATTTACAATATTTCTTTCCAGAGATATCATATACATTTATAAGCATTTAGAATATTATTGTTATATATACCTATTTTTTCCAGTACCTCATTTCACTTAACATATCTTAAATAATTTTTTCCCTATCAGTTCATATAGAGCTGTCTCACTCTTTTTAATAGCTACATCCTCTATTAATGGACATTCAGGTTGTTTATAATCTTTTGCTTTAATAAATATACCACAAAAAATACCTACCTATCTATTGCATGTATAATTGCTGAGCCTAATGTAATAGTAATAGCCTTTAGTGACTTATCAAATATTTAGAAAAAGTTAACTTCTTTAGAAATGACCACACAGTAAGAACATATGTAAAACTCCAGATCTAAACATCACTTTTTCAAGTCAGCTACCCGTGTTAAAGTTTGTATGTGACAGGTAGGCATTTCTAGAAAAGGTACAAATTATACACTAACAGCTTTATCTCTAAGTTTATATAATAATCTAGCCCAACTTTCTAATTGGCTATCACTTTAACATCCATTGCTACTACATCTAATCTAACTTTAACCCTAAAAGGAAAGGAGAACATTCACTACTAAAGGGTTGCCTTAAAGCATATGACAGCCATGGAAGGAGCAAGAAATGGAGGCACTGATGTCAGAGACATTGCTCATAATGGATAATAATGTCAGAGACATTACTCCTGCCAAAAGTGGTCTATACAGCTACAGAATTTAGAAAGCAGAGATTCCATCAATGATTGTGAGAAAATAATTATAGAGTGACATGCCATTAACAAACTAAATGAAGTTATTGAGAAACTTGGGCCTAGCCTAATTGAAATGGCATTAATAACTTCCTCAAAAAAATGTTTCATACTGGTATTTCTACAAATAGCATTTACTTCTCAATCCACACTTAAGCTAACCAAGAAAATATAGTGGTTTTTGTAGCCTTGTTGTATATGTTAATGAGGATTTGCTTACCAGGGTTGCAGTCTGTCAAAAGGGAACAAATAGACAGCAAAACCTTTGAAATAGTCAAAGCGGGACTCCAGTTGTCTTTAAGAATGTCCAGACAGATGACTCCCTGACTGTTGATGTTGCAGTGATAGATTCTGGTACGGAAAGTAACCTAAGTGAAGTCATATTAAAAACAGAAAGAAAATGAATGCTTTATTACCAACTAAAACTCTCACCAGAAAAAAAAGAAGGGTTAACACATCATAGATGATACAAGATAGCAAATAATTTAACCGTAGCTTATCTTAGATTGGGTTTAACAACAAAATTAAATGGTTTTATTTGATTAAGCTGAATTTTTTTTTTTTACCTAGCACAGGAAGAAACTATATTGATTTTAAAACAAAGCAAGCAGTTGATCAGTTAAATGTAAATACGTGATAGTTTTTCTATGTATATATGTATGTACATGTGCACACATGCATACACAAATAAAGGACAGGAAAGGGAGAACAGAAATGTTTTGGTGCCAAGTATAAGAGGAACTAAAGATTTTGTTTGAACATAAAAGTGACATTAATTAGTAAAAAAAGATCAGTATCAACTCAACTAATTTCTTGCCATGTGTCAGAAAATACTGGCAAAGGAGTTAGAGGAAAGTTGGTAAAACTGTCTGTGCCACCTGCCTTTGCATTTCTCAGCCTTTCATTTCCACAGCTGGTTCACTATCTTGTTAAACTAAAACACTGAAATAAAATAAGCATGGTCTTCAGCTACTGGATAAAGGAAAGTGATACATCCCTGAGATGTGAGAAAAGGAGATAAATCACAGGAACAAATATGGGCAAGTTTCAAAATAACCACAAACGTTAACTGGTGGTTAATTCCTAATTTGGAGTCGCAAAGAAAAGAAAACAATTACTGATCTCTTGAAACTAGTGGTGTACTGTGAGCTCCAAAGTGAAATCTGGGAAGAAAATATTAAAAACTCTCAAAAGTACTTTTATGAAAGAAATGCATAATTAAATAGAGAGAGACACACACCACTGGTCTAGTGGGGGAAATGTATGCCCCCGCCCCCAGCTACCGGCAGCGGAAGTATGCCCCTTGAGAACCACTTTGTGCAACACAGTACATACTAGTTACATATGGTGAGCTCTTAAATCATGGCTAGTGGAACTGAGATGGGCTTTAATGTATCAAGTACATACCAGATTTGAAAGACTCAGTTCCAAAAAGAGAATACAAAAGATCTCATTACTGATACTCTAATGTTGATTACATGTTGAAATAGCAATAGTTGGGATATACTGGGTTAAATAAAACATTATTAAAATTAACTTCATTTTTCTGTTTACCTACTTGAATTTAAAATTATACATGTAGACAGCATTATATTTCTATTAGACAGTGCTGCTCTAGAATATTGGAATATACGAGGCTACTTCAAAAAGTTCATGGAAAGATTCGCATTATCTTTTAATTCTATTTTTCCATAAATAATCTGAAGCACCTTTGTATGTCAGGTTTACAAATACAACATTTTGAATGTTGTTCCAGCTATGAATAATTAGTGAACAGAACAGTGTCCATGAATAGTAGAAAAAAATTAAATCTTTATTATTCTTTCAAGTTCATACCTTATCTGAATTTTAAAAAGAACTGTACTGTAGAGAGATAATTGTTCCTAACACCAAGATAATACCAGAAATCTTATTTATTTTTCACTTGTCCAACTACAGACCTTACTAATGCTTAAGATCTCTTAGCAAGAGAAATAAACTAATATTAAAGGGTTAGGAACTTAAAATATGACAATTTCGGCAAAAAATTAACATGTTAGATTTATAAATAACCATAATATTAATCAAAATGATTGATATATCATATACAGAACTATACTTTGAAACACTTATGTTAGTCAATTTCTATTTTCTATTAAAAGGTGCTAAAAAAAAATGTGTTTTCTTTAACTTTTCCCCACATACAAAAATAATGTTGTAAAAACAAGTCTTACTTTTTTTTCTTCTAATTTTGCTAACATGTTAAAATCAAATTCCAGCATGAAACACTAGGCATGTAGAAGTAAATATCACTTACAAATATAATCATAAGGTGTTTTGCTAAGGTTTTTTTTTTTTCTATAATACAGAAAACAGCCACTGACTACAAATATGCAGTTAGTGATATACTGATATTTAATACATGTCATTTTGAATGTGAATACAACTTGTGGTGTTATCAATGTGAAGGTTTTACCCCTTTATTTGACTGATTCAGTAAGACAGATTACAGACTTGGGAGTATTAAAAAAGGTAATAATGACAAGACTTTAGATTCTGATACTACTACATGGTAAAGCACTCAAAAAAACTGATAGCTGTAATTTGAGAGTAAATACCTGAAGGTGATAAGGAACTCTGGTATCTGTAACTTAAGGTAAATACCACTAGGTGGAACTGTTGTTATCTTGTTAGATAATGGTTTCCTGAGAAATGATTTTTTTCCTAAATAAAATAAATGCTTTATTTTTACATACATACACACACACTCATACTAGCATTAAATAGCTACATAAATTTTAAAATAGTACAGGGAACATAAGAAGCTATTTTTAAAACATTTCATCGTTCTTAAATGCTACAGACTTGATAACTTGATATAGACTTTCTCTAGCATGTCAGACATCTCTGTAACAAGAACATAATTATGCTGAGGTTTAATTCTGGTGATTTTTACCTGTTGGCTTGACCATCTTAGAATGAGAAGTCAGGGAGGAAGCCATTTAAGTAACTGTTATGCTTAAGCTTTGCAAAATAATTGCCAGTCACTACAAGGCACAACTCAACCCTTCTCTATTATCCATCTATATACTTCAAATAAACTCAGAAACAAAAAAGAAACAGAAGACACTCAGCCACCCTGTTTCCATTACTATAGCATGCCCACAGAGGGCACAAAATAAGTTTACTAAATATTATTAGTTTCTCTCTTCTTGCTATGGTTTTTTCAGTTTTTGCATACCTGTAAACATAAGGTATTCAGCACAAAGTTATTAAACCCTTATTTCCGGATGCTGTCAAACGGGTTTACTTTTTATCTCAATATGTCTGTTAAGGATATTTTCCCTCATATCATAAGTACAAAATTTATGTGCTTAATTGATGTGCAAAGTATAGTTTTATTTACAATTAACAATTAAACCCTCTTTCTGTTGATTACAAAGTTATTTGTGAAACACAGGAGTCAATAACTTTCAGTTCTAAGATTCTTGGTTACGTGAAAAACAATGAAATAAAAATGATCACATCAATACACATTTAAGCTCTAGGATAACTGATTTTGGAGAAGTATAAATATTAAAGAATGCACTTCTAGGTTCTTACCTTTGGTGGTTTAAATGGATAATCTGACGAAAATGTGATATCCAGAAAAAACACACCACCTTCATATACAGAACCTGGTGGACCAAGTATAGTCGATCTCCATTCATAAATGTTATCTCCTTTAGGCCCAGCACTATTTAAAAGAAATCAAAAATCAATATGTACATGTAAGCAATACATGTTAACATTTTAAAACCAATTAAGTATTAAAAGTAATTTAGCAACCTAGACCAATAAGGGATGAGATAAGTATAAAAGTAATAAGCCCAATGTGTTCATGCATGTTCATACATAAACCTCATTTAGAAATATTTCAAACTCACAGAAAAATACAAGAAAATACAAAGAACATCTGTATCACTTTACCCAGAATTTCCTTCTGTTAGCATTTTGCCCCATTTGCTCCTGTTTCTTTTTCTCTCTCTCTCTCCCACTTTTTTCTGAGGCATTTGAGAGTAAGCTGCATACATCATGGCCCTTTCCCCATAAATGCTTCAGTGTGACTTTCCTAAAAATAATCTCCCATTAACTATAATAGTTACAATATCAATACTTTAATCGACAATTTGTGTTATAATGTTGTCAACTGACTTAGTGATACCCTTTAAAAAAAGATTTAATTTTCCTCCAGATATAGAATCCAGTCTTGGGATCATGTATGTCCTGTGTCTTTAGTCTCCTTTAATATGGGTCCTCTTTCAGCCTTCCTTTGACTTTTATAGCATCAACATTTTTGCAGAATACAGTCCTTAAATAAAAAACAAACCAGAATGCTCATCACTTTGAGCTCATGTGATCCTTCCTTATGATTAGATTCAAATAATGAGTTCCTGGCCAGAATAGTATGTAAGTGATGTGTCTTTCTCAGGGTGTCACATACAGAGGCACATGGTATCTACCTGTCCCTCACTGGTGATGCTAAGTTTTATTATCCAAGACAAGGCACACTCTGTCCAATTTTCCTACTGCTTAGTTACTATATTTTCCCTGCAACCAATAAGCAATCATTGAGCTGACCTTTGAAGACCATGCAAATATCCTGCTTCTTACCAGAATTTCTCCCCTAGATTTAACATCTATTTGTGATTCTTTGAACTTTAGTATAATGGTGGCAAAAACATGATTTTCCAACTCCAGGACTTCCTCCACACTTACCAGTTGCCTCTTGAGCCCTCTTTTCTCGTGTTTGTAGGTACACATTACTGGTATGGTCATGTAGAATCCTATTTTTTCCCAATGCTTTATAATTCATTACTGCCTTTAATTATTTTGATGTTGAAATTATCCCAGATTTGGCAGTGGAAACCCCTTGAACATGGCTCCTATATCCTCGTGACAATGCTGCCTGCCATCAGTTTTTTGAGCACTTTCTTCCCTTCTGGCATAACAAAATGTTTTAGACTCCCAGCCTCAGAATCAGACATTTCTCCAAGAAGCTCTGGTTCCTTTTAGTAGGAATATTGTTAGAAACCAAGATCTGAGTGCTAGTTGTTAAGTCTCAGTTACATTTTGATGCATTATACTCAACACCATCACTTCATTTATATAATACAAACAAGAGAGATAGTTCAAATAAAATCTAAACTCACAATTACTTGCTGGTAAGGCAACTCCAACACTCCTTAAACTCTCTTCAAATATACCTTACAGGCTTCCATTTTTCTCTAACCTTTACATCATAAATTATCTTGGCTTTCTGAATATATGTATGTATAAAGCTTTTCTTTTCTTAAAATTAGGACCACTGGTTTAGAAATGATCTGCATGTCCTACTTAAAACAAGCACAAACTAGCACTGATAAATCAATCACATTAATTAATACTAGGACATCAAGGACCGGCCCGTGGCTAACTTAGGAGAGTGTGGTGCTGATAACACCAAGGCCGCAGGTTCGGACCTCTATATAGGGATGGCCAGTTGGCTCACTTGGGAGAGCGTGGTGCTGACAACACCAAGTCAAGGCTTAAGATCCCCCTACCAGTCATCTTTGGGGGGAAAAAAAATACTAGGACATTAGTTAAAATTATTTAACTATATATTATTAATTCTGTAAAACATACACTATTAATTGTAAAATTTCAGGTAAGCAATGTCATCAATAATCAAAAGGGTGCTCTGAAAAATGGTTCATACAAAAAAAGGTATAGAAAACTTGATGGTGTAATAAAAGTCGTTACATGATGTTCCCGCCACCCCCCCAAAAAAAATCTGTCTTTAAGGCAGATATAGAGATGCAATAAAATCTTAATATTTTGACCTATTTAGGAGAAATATATTTTTGAAAATAAATAATATTTTATAAGTTTTAAATATACACAGCAATTGGAACTAATTACAGTAATGGCTCGTTGTTCTGCCATCATTTGAGAATCAGGCATATTCCCTAAGTGAATATTCACTATAAATAAAAACATACAAAACTGAGTACCAATTTACAAACAGACTTCAAAAGTTTAACCTCATTCAATGGCATTTTCTTTTCAAAGTTAATTTTTCACTTGGTGATTCAAAGTAATCATTATAAAACTAAATTATAGTATAACAGACTTTTATAGTATAGCACCTCTACTAAAATGTTTCTCAACTACACATGACACACACTAGTAATAGTAATAATAACATTAGCCATCCTTACTACAAGCCAGGCACTGTTTATAGCACCATAGTGTATAACTCATTTAATTCTCCTAACAAACCCATGAAGTGGATGCTATTATTACATTCCTACTTTTATATGAGGAAACTAAGGCACAGAGAGTTAAATAACTTTCTGTATGTTCCACAGCTACAAAATGACACAGAATTTGAACAAAGTATATAATCTAGTCTCTATTTTCCTCAATGTTTTTGCTATATTTCCTCTTCTAATTTTCAGTGCTGCTACTTCTAATCTCCAGTCAAATTTTACAAACACATATTTTTAAGTCCCCAAAGGGAGCTGTTGTTCTCCAAAGAAACCAAATTGCTACAGAGATATTTTCTGGTTCTTAGTAGAACTGTGTTATGCTTCAGATGGTTAGATGGAAGGTAATTTGGGGATTACTGTATTTTAATGCATCACAGAATTTCAGACTGAAAAAGACTGAGTTGAGGCCAAATCCCTTTCTTTACAATTGAAGAAACAACACAAAACAAACAAACAAAAATCCATCTTAAACTTCCTCTGCCAGTTGGTAAAAGAGCTGGGATTCCCACATCAAACTCTCAGTTCTCAAATATTCTTTCTTCCCACTTACACTATTTGTCACAGGACACAAGGGTACACGTAACTATTACAGCAGAATATCAAATGAGACTTTTCCTGTTGTCCTGGAGTAGACTGAGCAGGGATGCAAGTTATGGTACTGTGATCCCTTTACTGTACCCAAAGACACCTAGCCTAAGGCAAGTGAAGGCTAAAATCCAGCCCTTGTGTTGGCTGCCTTGTCTGGAGTAAGGAATCTCTTTTCATTCTCACAAATGTTAGTCAAGACATGGCATGGGTAGGAGGTGAGTAGAAAGGGCTATGGGATAGGGGCAACTGCAGGACTGAGTACACTCTAATTCAAACAAAGCATTTTATAGGATAGCAGCTGACCTGCCACTGAAGCCTCACAGAAGAGTAGAAAATGGGTGATAAATGCTGACCATCGCAAGACAGGTGCTACTCACCCTTTTCACTAGTTTCCATTCTCTCTCTCTCTCTTCCACAAGGGCAGCACTCCAGCAATTCTCCATTCTGTCTTGAATCACCCATTTTTCCCTCTCTGGTGAGATGTGCCCACAAGAATCCAACAATGCCATTTTTCCATCTTTATTAAAAAACTAACCTCTATTTCTATACCACTTCCAGCTTCCATCTCAGTTTTCTTTACAGCAAAACTCCTTGAAACAGTTATCTATACCTGCCATCTCCAAGTTCTCTCCTGTTTTTACTTGAACCCGTTGAAAACAGACCTTTCCTCACCATCACTACACTGAAACTTCCCTTACCCAAGGTCACCAGTGACTTCATCACTAGAGCCAATAATCATTTCTCAATCCTCATTATTATTTGACTGGTCCACCAGCAATATTTGACACTGTCAATCACTTCTTCCTTGAAACACTTTCTCTATTTTCTTGCTAGAATAACATATTTTATTGGTTTTCCTCCTAACTTTCCTGGAGCCAATAATCATTTCTCAATCCTCATTATTATTTGACTGGTCCACCAGCAATATTTGACACAGTCAATCACTTCTTCCTTGAAACACTTTCTCTATTTTCTTGCTAGAATAACATATTTTATTGGTTTTCCTCCTAACTTTCCTGGCTCCTCCATCTTATTCTCTATTGCTGTTTCTTATCTCTCTAACTTCTAAATATTACCAGTCCACCGGAGCTCAGACCATTTCTCTTTTCTACCTACATGTACTGTGTTGGTGATCTCATGAAGTTTTACAGCTTCCAATAGCACCCACATTTGTATCTCCAGCCTAGACTGCTATTCTGCTATTCCAGAGCTACACACCTAAATACTAATTAAACCACTTTTATTCTGAAACCTAATATTTGAATCTAAAAATGTTGAAAAAGTACCTCAAATTTAACATGTCCCAAATCAAGTTCCTGATAGTACAACTCCTCACAGTACAATTTCTCATACAATCTTTCCTATTTCAGCTAAAGGCAACTCCATTCTAGTTCCTCGGGGCAAAAGCCCAGACCTAATCTTTGAAAACCCTCTTTTCCACCCCTTATTCAGTATACTAGCAAATTCTATTGGTTTTTTTCTTCAAAACACATCTAAAATTCTACTACTTCTCCCCACTCCCAATGGTCCAACCTTGATTCAAAACATTAGCAAACCCCCACAAAGTTAATTTCAATGGCCTTGCTGCTTCTGCCTTTGACCCTATCCCCACATCTCATTGGTGTGATGGTCTATTCTCAATATAACAATCAGGCAGTGTGACAGCTAAAAAGTTAATCAGATCACATAACTCTGGTTAAAACCCTTCCAAAGGCTTACCTTCTTATTTTGTGTTAAAGCCAAAGTCTCATGACCTACAAGGTGTTGTGTAATGTGCCACCATCACCACCATCCTTCCCATCTGTTACTCTTTTCCTTGTTCAAATAGCTGCAGCAACGCTGTCCTCCCAACACACAA